AAGAACTGCCCCTACCTGATGAGTCTCAAGAAGGTCGAAAGCGGTCGAAGAGTTTTCAGTAGTATGTTCACCCATCTATGTTAACGTAAATTTTTGCAATCAACTAACGGCCAGTGGTATGCTGCTCTACAACTAGAAAAGACCCCAAATCCTAAGTCCCAACTAGCAGTTATCGCAAATATGAGTGGCCAACGGAGGCGAACAGCAATCCCGCCATCCCATACTACTGAGAACACAGTCGGCCTCCTTCGACTCAGGATCACTGCTGAAATTATGTTTACTCTTACAAAGAATCCGATGATAAGAACTGGGATTGTCTATTTCATTCGAGAGGTTTTATTCGGATGTCATAAGGGAAATCGAGCAGGAATATGGACTTACCTGTTGTAAAACTTCCAGATTTCACCGTTGTACAGTATATTTACTGTAATAATGAAATACTTTGTGAATGCTGTTACTGTATTCTGGATTGGAACAATTTCCACACAGTGTAAACTTTCAAGTAAAAGTTCTCGGACTAAAATAACAAGTTAGGAGGGAACCTTTGGGACAAAATGACGCGTTCTTCTTCTGGCATGCACAAAAAAACTTATTTTGTTTTCTTTTAATTCGTCAGGCGCCAATGTGACAGTCCNCCGGAGTTCGAACCCCGGTACGGCCAAGGATTTACTACTGTCCAGCACTAATGAGAGCACATCCTTCCCTCTTTGATGCAGAAATGGTTGTTTCAGGACAGAAAGAAGACAATTATTTTGGTTGGTCCATCCCAAAGCCGGGAACCCGGGCTCCACTCACATTAGAGTCTGTGATTAGTGAATGTTTCTGTCCGTCCTGAGATTCGAGCCATGGAGATTTGACATTTGTGCTACTCTTGCTGGCTATACGTGTCTTCACTAAAAACCTGCTATTCAAGTGGAACAAAAGCATGATGAGTTTCTATACCTTGTTACTCAACTATTACTCACTTATCTATTTGTCGAAATATAGGTAACTTGGGTGTGTTTACTGTTGTTTGATCAGATGGTAGCTGATCCTTTCCCGGAAAACAACCGAAAACGGATCTGAAACACTCCAAAACAGCCATCCAACTAACCAGTGGAACATGAGGCACACAGACCAAAACACAGCGCAAATCACAATCGGGCCAATTATACTACAAGAAACCTATATACCCATTAGCCAATCACATGACAGGATATTAGATGCTCTCAAAAAAATTATATAAACGCAGCTAGGCACGGAGAAAGCACCCACTCAACTGCGCACTGACGATGTCTCCTCGACTGAGGACAAAGCGTTTGCAAATCAATTGCCAAAATGGGCAAAGAGATCAACTGCCATCTGATCAACCAACGGTATTACTCACTTACAGCTCACTTTTTACCCACTTATTTAGAAAGGGAGTGCACGAAGTTGGAGGATGGAGCAGCACGTCTAACGTTTTCCCAGCTATTATCGACGTCAAGGTCATGTCCAGCAACACAGTCTTTCAGGACGGAAACCTGACAAGATCGCCAATTTCTTAATACGATAATCGGATAAAATCTCCGACCCTACAGCGCAGATTAAATGGGAAACCGGCTACGAGCAAAACACTAAAAATGACAATCTGATTGGTTGTATCATAGGGTGCTGTGCAACGCAGCGGTGAAAAGTTCACCGAGGCCATTCTTATGACCCTCAAAATGGCATGTCAAAGCACCGTAAAATTATAGTTTGATCTAGTTTGTTGAATTCCGATGAATTCGTTATCATCCATCGCAGATATGAATCCAATTGTCAAACAGTTAGTTTTCATTTGGATATTTTAATCAGCGTTCGTGCATGCAAAACACACGTGTTCCTCTTAGCGCAGATGAGTTGAATGGCCTTTTCCAATTTCCGCTCGATGAAGAACTCGGCGAAGGTGATGGAAACGAAAGGTCAGTGTGAAAACGAAATCGATTGCAAACTAATGTGGCATCGCACGTAGATGGTTCAAGTTTTTTAAAAAAAATCAGGCATTTTTCTGGCTAGAATCAGTACAAGAATCCTAACCTTGCTGTTTACAACTGAGATATTTCTCCTCGAAAATAAGCCAAATTTGATTTGATTTTCAGATATTAGTAAACAACTATTTTTACAAGAGGGCGATCCTTTTTGATGGAGTTCCCTGGAACATTCAGAACCTCGTAACGAATCTCGAGTTGGGATTCACTCTGTGAAATCAGTCTTGAGTTAAGTGAGGAACCCCGTCGTTCTTACCGTACTTAGTTGAGGAACTCAAAGCTTGCCAAAAGCAAAACCAACTAACTCGGCGTTGTCTTTCCGCTACAGACTTGTGTTCTGCCCTCACCAGCGAATATTTTTCAGCAACCTTATGAGTAGTGTATTACGTCCATGGCAGATGATTTGATTTTTTCTGCAGAAGCCAAGAATGTATTTGGACCGAATTAAAAGCAGCTATTATCCAAATTGGGTAACACGTATCTTTCTCTTCATGACCATCGTGACGCCAAACGTCATAGCTGAAAACATGTGGAGCTTGTGACGGGTGATGCAAAGGGCCTCATGATCATTTGCACAGGTATTTCGCCTGTATTTCTGGGGATAGTATGTGTACGTACATTTGAAACCAGGGATTGGATACTATCGATTACCATAATTCGTTCCGGTCTTTGGTTGGATGTCAACTCGTATAAAACACAGGACAAGTTTTTTTTATATTTTAAGTTGTAAATTAGATGAATGTGTTACTGAAACCGTTGCCCGATAATTTTTATCATTCACCTAAGCGAAGTACACTCACTTGCCTACTGATTTGGTTTTCCTGTGGGACGCAACTTAATCTCTTGTCCATGATATTCATCTTCAAGTGAATGTGTTGCACCCGGCCAACTCAGAAATCAGTTGGTAGGATACGAACCAAATTAGCATGAAAATGAACATAGTTCGCTAATTTTGTGCAGTATAGGTTCAAGTAGAACATCAATTTGACTGAAACTCAAGAACTGCCCCTACCTGATGAGTCTCAAGAAGGTCGAAAGCGGTCGAAGAGTTTTCAGTAGTATATTCACCCACCTTTGTTTGCGTAAATTTTTGCAATCCATCTAACGGCCAGCGGTCTGCTGCTCTACAACTAGAAAAGACCCCCAATCCTAAGCCCCAGCTAGCAGTTATCGCAAATATAAGTGGCGAACGAACGGGAGCAGCTATTCAGCCATCCCATACTACTGAGAACACAGTCGGCCTCCTTCGACTCAGGATCACTGCTGAAATTATGTTTACTCTTACAAAGAATCCGATGGTAAGAACTGGGATTGTCTATTTCATTCGAGAGGTTTTATTCGGATGTCATAAGGGAAATCGAGCAGGAATATGGACTTACCTGTTGTAAAACTTCCAGATTTCACCGTTGTACAGTATATTTACTGTAATAATGAAATACTTTGTGAATGCTGTTACTGTATTCTGGATTGGACCAATTTCCACACAGTGTAAACTTTCAAGTAAAAGTTCTCGGACTAAAATAACAAGTTAGGAGGGAACCTTTGGGACAAAATGACGCGTTTTTCTTCTGTCATGCACAAAAAACTTGTTTTGTTTTCTTTTAATTCGTCAGGCGCCAATATGACAGTCCGAAAACCATTGCCCGTCGAGATTGTTCCAACTGTTCGACGGATGCTGTGCGATGAAAATATCTACGCAATTTTGCAATGAATCGATAGGCCTGGTATCATGCGATGACCTGACAGTAATCTTGACAGTTTATTAGAAACATTGTTGTTCCCAGGGATCAACTTTATCACGCATTTTTTGCTTTGGAGTTGGATAAATATGTCAACATTTGACTGCTTTTTCTTCATTATGAACAGACCATGTTCCGGTTGCATGAAAATATTGCAACACTCTGTCAGAACCGTTTATGTTTGGGCTAGACAGCTCTTGTTTGCAAATTAACGTGGTGTTAACGGGAGACCCAAGGGGAACTTGTTTGATGTATTCTTCAGCTCAAATGGCTACACACAAAAGCCACAGGGAGAACAGAATCGGTATTAAAAGGCTTGGAACTTTTTCTCACCATTCTATACAGAATGTTACCGAGAAAATAGTTTGACATCAGAGACATGAAGCAACCTGTGTGTGGCCTATTCAGCTGAACAAATTTCACGCGTTGTAACATGTAAATTACTGTTTAACGCCACGTAGATATTCGGTGTTTTCTACCTAAGACATCGCTAAATGCCAGAAAAGCATTTTCTGTCATCCATCTTCGGGAGAAATCTACCTGTCAAAAAAAAACGATATCCGANCTGACGATGTCTCCTCGACTGAGGACAAAGCGTTTGCAAATCAATTGCCAAAATGGGCAAAGAGATCAACTGCCATCTGATCAACCAACGATATTACTCACTTACAGCTCACTTTTTACTCACTTATTTAGAAAAAGAGCGCACGAAGTTGGAGGATGGAGCAGCACGTCTAACGTTTTCCCAGCTATTATCGACGTCAAGGTCATGTCCAGCAACACAGTCTTTCAGGACGGAAACCTGACAAGATCGCCTATTTCTTAATACGATAATCGGATAAAATCTCCGACCCTACAGCGCAGATTAAATGGGAAACCGGCTACGAGCAAAACACTAAAAATGACAATCTGATTGGTTGTATCATAGGGTGCTGTGCAACGCAGCGGTGAAAAGTTCACCGAGGCCATTCTTATGACCCTCAAAATGGCATGTCAAAGCACCGTAAAATTATAGTTTGATCTAGTTTGTTGAATTCCGATGAATTCGTTATCATCCATCGCAGATATGAATCCAATTGTCAAACAGTTAGTTTTCATTTGGATATTTCAATCAGCGTTCGTGCATGCAAAACACACGTGTTCCTCTTAGCGCAGATGAGTTGAATGGCCTTTTCCAATTTCCGCTCGATGAAGAACTCGGCGATGGTGATGGAAACGAAAGGTCAGTGTGAAAACGAATTCGATTGCAAACTAATGTGGCATCGCACCTAGATGGTTCAAGTTTTTAAAAAAAATCAGGCATTTTTCTGGCTAGAATCAGTACAAGAATCCTAACCTTGCTGTTTACAACTGAGATATTTCTCCTCGAAAATAAGCCAAATTTGATTTGATTTTCAGATATTAGTAAACAACTATTTTTACAAGAGGCGATCCTTTTTGATGGAGTTCCCTGGAACATTCAGAACCTCGTAACGAATCTCGAGTTGGGATTCACTCTGTGAAATCAGTCTTGAGTTAAGTGAGGAACCCCGTCGTTCTTACCGTACTTAGTTGAGGAACTCAAAGCTTGCCAAAAGCAAAACCAACTAACTCGGCGTTGTCTTTCCGCTACAGACTTGTGTTCTGCCCTCACCAGCGAATATTTTTCAGCAACCTTATGAGTAGTGTACTACGTCCATGGCAGATGATTTGATTTTTTCTGCAGAAGCCAAGAATGTATTTGGACCGAATTAAAAGCAGCTATTATCCAAATTGGGTAACACGTATCTTTCTCTTCATGACCATTGTGACGCCAACCGTCATAGCTGAAAACATGTGAAGCTTGTGACGGGTGATGCAAAGGGCCTCATGATTATTTGCACAGGTATTTCGCCTGTATTTCTGGGGATAGTATGTGTACGTACATTTGAAACCAGGGGTTGGATACTATCGATTACCATAATTCGTTCCGGTCTTTGGTTGGATGTCAACTCGTATAAAACACAGGACAAGTTTTTTTATATTTTAAGTTGTAAATTAGATGAATGTGTTACTGAAACCGTTGCCCGATAATTTTTATCATTCACCTAAGCGAAGTACACTCACTTGCCTACTGATTTGGTTTTCCTGTGGGACGCAACTTAATCTCTTGTCCATGATATTCATCTTCAAGTGAATGTGTTGCACCCGGCCAACTCAGAAATCAGTTGGTAGGATACGAACCAAATTAGCATGAAAATGAACATAGTTCGCTAATTTTGTGCAGTATAGGTTCAAGTAGAACATCAATTTGACTGAAACTCAAGAACTGCCCCTACCTGATGAGTCTCAAGAAGGTCGAAAGCGGTCGAAGAGTTTTCAGTAGTATATTCACCCACCTTTGTTTGCGTAAATTTTTGCAATCCATCTAACGGCCAGCGGTCTGCTGCTCTACAACTAGAAAAGACCCCCAATCCTAAGCCCCAGCTAGCAGTTATCGCAAATATAAGTGGCGAACGAACGGGAGCAGCTATTCAGCCATCCCATACTACTGAGAACACAGTCGGCCTCCTTCGACTCAGGATCACTGCTGAAATTATGTTTACTCTTACAAAGAATCCGATGGTAAGAACTGGGATTGTCTATTTAATTCGAGAGGTTTTATTCGGATGCCGTAAGGGAATTCTAGCATGAATATGGACTTACCTGTTGTAAAACTTCCAGATTTCACCGTTTTACAGTATATTTACTGTTATAATGAAATACTTTGTATATGCTGTTACTATATTCTGGATTGGAACAATTTCCACACAGTGTAAACTTTCAGTTAAAAGTTCTCGGACTAAAATAGCAAGTTAGGAGGGAACCTTTGGGACAAAATGACGCGTTCTTCTTCTGGCATGCACAAAAAAACTTATTTTGTTTTCTTTTAATTCGTCAGGCGCCAATGTGACAGTCCGAAAACCATTGCCTGTCGAGATTGTTCCAACTGTCCAATCGATGCTGTGCCATGAAAATATCTACGCGATTTTGCGATGAATCGGTAGGCCTGCTATCATCCGATGACCTGACAGTAATCTTGACAGTTTATTAGAAACACTGTTGTTCCCAGGGGTCAACTTTATCACGTATTTTTTGCTTTAGAGTTGGATAAATATGTCAACATTTGACTGCTTTTTCTTCATTATGAACAGACCATGTTCCGGTTGCATGAAAATATTGCAACACTCTGTCAGAACCGTTTATGTTTGGGCTAGACAGCTCTTGTTTGCAAATTAACGTGGTGTTAACGGGAGACCCAAGGGGAACTTGTTTGATGTATTCTTCAGCTCAAATGGCTACACACAAAAGCCACAGGGAGAACAGAATCGGTATTAAAAGGCTTGGAACTTTTTCTCACCATTCTATACAGAATGTTACCGAGAAAATAGTTTGACATCAGAGACATGAAGCAACCTGTGTGTGGCCTATTCAGCTGAACAAATTTCACGCGTTGTAACATGTAAATTACTGTTTAACGCCACGTAGATATTCGGTGTTTTCTACCTAAGACATCGCTAAATGCCAGAAAAGCATTTTCTGTCATCCATCTTCGGGAGAAATCTACCTGTCAAAAAAAAACGATATCCGACACGCTAACGTGGCTGTCTGGCTTGTCACTAACGAATGCGTGTCGGGGACAGAATATCCCATGATCATCTGGTTAGAGAGTTTTTCATCCGCCACTGTGAAATTGGACGTTGCGTTACAGCAAATATCACACGGTTACCCTTCCAGTAACTTCCAGCGTCTTGCCTTCGCCCTGCTCCAGTCTAAATTACGTGGCGACTTGTGTAAAAGACATTTGGGCGCACAGAATGCAAGCAGGTTATGCTAATAACGTTGTTAATATTGGGTGAACAGATTTGTGAACCCCCAAAACTGGCTTCACACCGTTTTTTTACCAAACACTTGCCACATCGGTGCATATTTCGTAATTTTATTTATCAGTCATTCGTTGCTACCCACATTCGTATAATTCTTTTCTCACATGCCTTCGTTATTTGAAAGTTGGCTTTGTTTTAATGCGTTTGTGAGCACGGCATCAACCCGATTCGGTCACTTCTCGGAAACTCCACGATGTACGGCGTCCAACTGGTTGATGCTAGGTTTTGTCAGTTCTCAACATTCTTTCACCAGATAAACTCATTTCCTCAGACTCCGTTCAAACTCAATTGCTAATTCACAGAGTCGAACCATCCCCTCCTCTGACCTTTCACGCATCTTCAAATACATGCGTCCTAGAGCGTCCGTCTCGATCACACGATTCGTTCGGTTTGTTAGACTCAGTCATCACATGTAACTTGAGACACTGTGAGAACGACAGGGTTGAATGTCGCTCAGCATATGCGCACCTCAATTCATGAATCCGAACACACTCCGAGAACCTCCAGAAGCCTGGCTTTTAGGTTAAAATAATTCAAACATTGGGTTCAAAAGACCAACTTTTGATCATTTAATGCGCGGGAAAAAGGAATGTTAGTTTTGAGCATTTGTACAGACACCGTACGAGACTCTGAGCGACGCAAGCCCATGGTACCCAGCATTTGTTGATGGGTTATTGCTAACATGTTGATCTAACATGTCCAGGATTACAGCTCCGGCTAGTTTAAGGATGTGCTCTGCTTTGATGTGAACTAATTAGAATCCTCATGTCTAGACAAGAGAAGGCTCGCCTAAACGAGAGGAGTCTGAATAACTGCTCGGAAGTGCGTCTGTTAGGGCTTCGGCTATTTTGGGAGAATTTTTCAGAGGAACGTTTAGCTATCATGATTCTCCCATCTGCAGATAACCGAATTCGGTCACATCTGTCCACCAGTGTTTGCTGTGCTTCAAAGAATGCACCAGTTGCGTAATTCTGAAAATTCTAGCTCATCCTGTAAGTGTGTGGCGATGCGAAATTGAAATTTCGTTCCGTCCACGTTCACAGTGAACGATTATGTTAATGTGCTGAAGTGCTGAGAGAACACAGGTTGCACTGGTGGCCTACGCAAAAATCCAGTAAGTACGCTTACGTCAGTTGACCGTCCTGTGCGATGGATTTTTTGTGTGGATCTCCGCACTTGCCGGAACGTGAGGCATGGAAGGCAAAGAGACAAAAACATGATCGGCTTTCCGTTTGTGGAATGGATAAAAGTATGCATGCAGTCCTCTCGTAGTGTTTGGTCCAGAAAAAAACTCGGATTCACATGACCTTCTGTTGATTCCTTTCTTCTATTTTTTATATTGTATAACGCGATTCCCCCCTTTTGTTATTTTGGTCTGTACCCATACCACGCTTGTTGTTTTTTACCTGAACATAAACCGTTCTTTGACCTTGTCATCGGAAGTGTTGTTTAAGTTCACACGTGGTTTCGGTAGCTTGTGAGCACGTGGCTCCGAGTCGGAGTGGACTTTGAGACCCGTTAGGAATTATCAGTTCCTAAACCGGTGTATAGAGGCCGGCATAGTCCCACGATTTGAGGTTTGTAAAGCTTTATCATTTTATTATTGTACTTGTAGTACCGCATTTGTAGATAAACCTCCATTTGAAAGAATTGGCTTCTGGGGTTTTTTCGCGTAACTCGACGTGCTTCAGCAGATTGCTGGAATCAATCTATACCTATCGCCTTTGTTATCAGCTGGGCATATATGGTGTGGAGGATTACCATAAGCGTGAAAGAACGAGGTCGAAACTTTGAGGGAATGTCCCAGTTTTAAGTTGTAAGTGCATTCTCGAATACACCGGTAGTGCAAAGATTTTTTCGGACCTCACTGATAGGCGATCAGTCAATGGGTGATCTGGGCCCAGATATTGGGATACACTCCTGACTTGTCTTGATTGTTTTACAGTATTGCTTTCCGAATACTGTTGCTAGATTCAGTTGTTCTCTGGGCTCTTTATTCCATACATAAATTTACGAAAGTTGTGCTTAAAGGACAGAGCGGCTGGGTTTCTTATGTGAAGTATTCATAATGACTGGTAATTCGCCTGTATCAACCACACACTGCCCATGTTCCTAAATCACGTGTGATATTCAGTCCGCATATGGAACTAAAGTAACACTCTCTCAGGCTAATACGAAAGAAGTCTGGTTTCTGCACGAACACGCTAATTACAGGGTTGTTGAAGGCACTTCCAAAGCCAGCCACTGGTACTGTCCTTCTTAACGCTCATCAGGGAAGCGTAGTCCTCAAGTTGTCGACAGCCACATGTTCGACCAGACCTCAAGGTATACGCAACTT